ATTTTCATGATAATCTCGGACGTACCAGCTTGGACTTAGAGAAAAGAAGATTGAGATATACCCTCATCAAATAGACAAATTTTGGCCAAGGGGAGAAATTGACTCGTTTGAACATTTTAAGTAGATATTTATTTTTATATACCTTTTTTTATCAAATTGTCCTGCTAGCGTAATTTGATTTATGACTTTTACAAAATAATATATATTTTTATCTTGTACTCTTATAGAAATTTATTACTGTAGCTTGGAGCAGTAATATCCTGGATCAATTTTAAAGATCTGATTTCGCATTTTTTTTTAAATAACAATTCTCAACCAGTTTTAACCAGCCACCAGGAAATGTTTCGAATTGCTGATTAACGAATGTACTTCTTTAAGACAGCATTTCCAAATTGTACCTTTACCATAACTTCATCAATTCTATTTTGATCGCAGTCTCGCTTCGGGATCTAGAAGTGGTTCCAAGATGTGTTGTCAAGGCAACCACAATATGCAGAATCCTTTGTCGCAAGTGTCATGATAATCTCTTTGCAACACTTCATGTTACCTGGCACGGTCGTCGACTGGAACGTGTTGAAGACAAAGCCGTCACTGTTTCAACCCGTACGAACTCCTCTTCCCAGTTGCTATGGTGAACTCTGGCACAGGGGGAGGTGGGAGCTGACCCTCGCTCGGCAGAGTGTTGTTCAAGCGATTTACGCGAAATGTTGTAGTCGATATGGTCGGGTTTAGTGCCAAATGTACGGATCGAAGCGGAAGATCATCTTCTAGCCCGAGGTTGGCATGGCGACACGATCAAACAAAGAAATGTCAATAAAAGTTGGGTTTCGAGGACTGTCTTGTTTCATAATTGTTGAGCTCACTTCCATTTCAAGTGGAAGTGTCGAGGCGTGAAGAGATTCGAAGACGACCAGCGGCAGATTCTTCTGTCGATTGGCTTTACTGGAACATTCTTGTTGATGCTGTTTCCGAGGCAATCTCGTTCGATTCCGGTGAAAGGTGCTCAGCTTTTGTCCGTCATGTGACGAACATCATGACAGCATCGAGGGTACCATCGTCACAACCAGATTCAAGCTGGCGAGTCAAGAAAAGCAAATCACTTTCTACTTGATCAAAGAGGTCAAATGTAGAGTGTGAATACCACTTTTTAGGGATTTTCAGGTGACTTTTTTTGACTCTGCTTCAATTTGCTTGTGACGATGATAACTCGCTCTGATGGTATTCGTCATGTGATGGAAGAAAGCTTAGCACCTTTCTACCGGAATCGAAGAGATTAGATCGGAAACAGCATCAGCATGAAGCTTACAGTAAAGCCAATCGACAGCTGGTCAAGAAGAATCCGTGGCTGGTCGTCTTTTGGTGGAACCGAACTTGGAATCTCTTCAGCCGACACTTTCACCCGAAACGGAAGTAAGCGGAACAAGCTGAGAAATCCAGGTCGTACTCTTGTTCTCCTCGATAATCACATGATGCTCCTCTAAGCTCCTCGACGACAGAGCGAGTTCATGGGCTTTGGCGACTGGAGTGTGGCATCACCCGATCGGGATTAGACCGACCGACTGCAGTCTTTTGGTGCATGAGAGAATGGCCGAAAGCAAGACATGTTTTGCTGCCACACACCAGCTGATGAAGTATGATTCGCGCTTATTCCTGCGCATTTCACAAAACCGATACCTTTCATGTGGCCTCAATCGTGCAACTGTTTTGCTCTCTGATTCGGTCGCGGAGTCGTTTTGCTGCATCGAAGATGCCTCAAACGAAGAATGATGGTACAGCTGTTGGGTTGAAAAGTGTCGACGAGTTGCAGTTGCAAGTGATGCTGACGGCCAGAACCGATGACTTCTGACCAGGTGCATCCAACTCAGTCGCCATGGCAACACAACCAAGTTTCATGCGTCTTTGCCTTCAAGAAGGTGTTGCCGCGACCGATTGGAGACTCCCATCTCGAAGGGAGCTTAACTTCTAACTCGATCGGTGCTGCTTCCACGTTCGACATGCTCCTCGCGGCAAGCCGGACCCATTCCAGTCGCATGTTCATGCTGTAGCTCGTGAGTGGGAAATGGGAAATGGGAAATGGGAATATAGAAAGTTCCAAATGGGTAGTGTCTAATGTCCCCGGGGCCATTTACACAACCACAAAATGCACTGCACTTGCGAGAAACCAGTTGACCCTTGGCCGAAAAATGCATTTTTATGTGCCATTTTACAATGGCACACGCGAGGCTGATGACTTTGTGTGTTTCTGTTTTTGTGTGAGCGACGTTTCGACAGAAATTATGGTCAAAGACTGCGGAAGAAGTCTTTAAAAAAAGAAGAAAAGTTGGGTTTCGAGCAATCTCTTGTTGCATAATTGTTGAGCTTTCTTTCATTTCGAGTGAAAGTGTGCCGTGAAGAGATTCCAAGGTCGGTTGCACCAGAAGACGACCAGCCACCGATTCATCTCCACAGCAAAATTGAAGCTAACCAGTCAGGAAAACTGACTGGCAAATCCCTAAAAAGTGGTACACCAACTCTACATCTGACCTCTTTGATCGAGTTTAAAGTGATTTGGTTAGTTGAGGTGTCAAGGTGAAAAGAAGATCAAACAACTACAAGACCTGATTAATTTCTGACCGGCTTTGCTCGAGTCGACGCAACTGAATGATGCCACCGGAAGTGTGCAGACTTGAGCTCGGTTTAGAAGGAATACTGTCAATCGAGTCAAGTCATTTATTTAATCCGAAACACAAGACAGCAAAGATACAGTTCACTCAAGCCTTGGGGTTCAAAAAGCAAGTGTGAAGATACAGAAATGGCGCGATTCCAACCAGTCTTGCCGTACAACCGGAACAGTCTTGGCCGACGAGGAGGAGGCTGAGGAAAGA